ATAAGGAACTTGCCTTAATTAATGCTTCAAAGAACGTGGGTGCAGTCCTACTACTGAACTTGGAGCATCAATTCTTTCCAACGTGCTCTGTGGCCATTCTCATCAGTCACTGAAGATGTCCTTACCAATCCAAAATCTGTCTCCTTCTTATCAGAAAAAGATGTAATGCTCTGAGCTAAATATGCAAATAACAATGATAAAGTTTTCAGAAAGGAACTTCAAGTAGTCACTGAATCTATTATTTAGAACTATAAAAATACTCTCTTGAGGATGGTAATATTTCAAAAATCACTACTTTAATGCTTCCAACAGTCCCTGTGTGGCATAGAAAAAACCATATATATCCAGAAATAGCCAAACCTTGTGATAGTATAGCCTGCTCTAACCCACGTTTCATGACACTGTGTCTGCTCCCGACACACAGGGATGCACAGTGCGTGCGTCTGTGTTGGAGTAGAGATGACATATGGCGTATTCTTGCATTGCAATAGGCTGAGACTCTCTGGTGTCTAGGATCAGTGCATAGCTTAAGATCAGGTAGAATCTGGCTAAGTAGCAATAATATAATTTTGAGATTTTTTCAATCATTTGGCTCATGCAAACTGGCCATAGTATAGAGCCAGTCACTTTATGTAAAGTGATTTGCGGTAAAGAATCAAGATAAAATGGCATGACTTGAATGTCATACCATCACCCCAAGTAACTTTCTCTCCATTGGGGAGAAGGTAGGTCTTACTGCTCCTGCTGCTGCTAAAATTCTGATGTCTAGATTGGGAGAGGTAAGAGGCACCACGAAAGATGATAAGGAAGATGACACCACCTTGAAAGGCCATACCTGTTCTCTCCTCAAGTACTCTGTATTGCAACCCAGCCCCGTAAGTTGGAATTGATTACTTGGTAATTTCTAAGTTAGGCTAAAAACCATGGACCTTTGTCATGGGGTTACATAAAGGCCTTGGGAAGGAAAAAATGATCTTTGGTTCCCAGAGACTTGGAAAATGAAAGATCCTTTAAACTGCTGGCCTCCTGAGACCTGAAGGAAGAAAATGAGCCCCAGTTGAAAAAGGACCCTGCCAGTGAACAGACAAATGCTAAAGTTCCAGTGCTGCCAGGGATTCGCAGAAATCTTTCCTGACCTCTTAGCTCCCAGTCTCATCACCAGTGTCCATATCTCTATGATCAGAACATCTCTCCTGCCCCCTCTGCCCATCTGTCTAACTAGTCTTCACTGCTGACCAGGCACGGGAGTCAGACTTGATGTTCCTAAAGGATCCTAATGTACAACCAAGGCTTCCACCAGATCTTTAGCCTTGTTCTACCTGCAATGAGGAGGGAAAGCCCCAACAACTTCTGAGAGCAGAGGCCCCTAAACTGACTCTGAAGAGTCCTGTGGGATTGTGTGGGGTAGTAGTGCAAAGTACTTCAGGGATCTGGATCAGCAATCAGAGAGGGACACCAAACCATCCTGCCCCGACTGTCTCTAGCTATTCAAACTTTTATCTCTCTAAAAGCAATTTTTGACCTCCTGATACATTTCCTCGTTAATGTTATATATCATGTTGTCAACTGGTCAGTGCAGTCTTGGGAATACAGGATATTAATTCAAACCTATGGAATAACAGTCATATATTTACAAATATCATACCTTTACAGAGTTATTTTAGCATGCATTCATTCTTGCATGCATTCATTCAGTGTTTTATTTATTCTTTCATTCAACAAACTAATTCTAACCAGGAAGTTCATGAGGAATAAGGGAAAATATTTAATCATATCCTATTGTAATAATCCCAAAACAAAAGTCTATAGATTTTCTCTAATGTATAACTTACTACTGGTAAGTTAAAGTTATTACTATTAATTTTTTTAAAAATCAAATTGAAGAAGATTCATGTAGAAATGGATGTTGAGGAATTAGCTTATTCATTTTTGCTTAAGAAAAAAATAATTAGCTTGGTATTGAAGTTCTAAGTTCTGTGACATTTTGACATGTATACAATTACCATAATTCTTTTATATGGCCTCAATTACAGTGTAACAACCTTATGACAAATAACCATGACTTCTAATGTAAAGAACAGACACTGCTAAGTAACAGTATGTTAAAATTCTTGATCCCCACATAACTAGCCATTACCCATTAAGTTGTGGAATTTGTGGTTTTGGTATGTAAGTGCACAGATTAAATAACTTTAATGTGTAATTACATGAAAATGAACCACATTGCTCAGTTAAATTGCAGTACAATTGTTATCACTGAATGTAAAGTGATACCAATTAAACCTTCCTTTAAAACACCACAAATTAAGATTTTACTACTGAAGAAACTCTAGAATACAAAGTTACGGTATATTGTAGTAGAATATCCCTGAGTATTTTCAAAGGTTTAATGGCATTTATAAATTTAAAAACAGGGGCTTTCCTGGTGGTGTAAGGTGTTAAGTGTCAGTGTTATCACCTAAGGCCTGAGTTTGATCCCCAGTCAGGGAGCCAGCGCACACACACACACACACACACACACACACACACACGCATGCACGCACACACACATGTACACATACACACACACAGAGAGCACAGTAGACCTCTCTTGTCTTGCCCGCTGCTCGCCTCAGCAGTGTATTTCAGTAAATCTGCCTGCTGTGCTTCTGTCAGGCACTGTCTCTTGTGCATGCTTTCACCATCCCCACACACACCTCTGACTTACACCCACACCAGTTCTTCTATCATAAATTAATAAATCTTTAAAAACAACCTTCTTTATAGCTGTCATTAATTGTACCTTATTCAGGCAAGTTTAAACAGATACTGGTGAACTTAAAAGATACACATCAATAAATTTAGCCTTTGAGATATTGACAAAAAGACAAATAATGAACTCTGGTGCTCATTTTTTTTTTTTTATTTTTATTGATGGCCTTTGGGGTGGAATTTGGGACATGACCTAATATTAATGCAATTCTAATTCTTAAATTATAAAATTTGATTATCAAAAACAGTTGGGTATTGTCACTTTGTATCATTCAACATTATAACATAGTAGCAGTAAATTACTGATAAAAGTATCTCAGCAATAACATGCTTCCTTCTTCATAGATCTATCGCTCCTATGTACTTGATTGTTTATGGCTGAAAATTTTCTAACTACTGTGTTTCCATTTCCTTTCAGATCATGGGGTAATAATAGCTCCACAAAGGATTATTGTAAAGATAAATGAGGACAACATAGTCAAAGGACTCAACGCAGTACTTTATATGAAATCAGCACTAATAAATATGCTTCCCCCTCCCATCATTTATATTTGATTTCCCATCATTTATAATTCTTGTATGAATTCTTGTACCAGGAACTGATGGCTTAGACTCAAGGTCAAGTCTAGACTACAGACTCAAAGTATATGAGGTCAGGCAAGTGAGAATTTCACCAAACTTATAATTTAAACACAAAGCACTAACAAATTTTTCAGACAAGCAATATATACTATAAACAGAAATATTTGATAACTGATGATTGAACTTTTAAAATTAGCACTTTTCAGCAGAACTTAAGATTTTAAGAAAAATTATCTACAGAATGAATTAAGTCTTTCTTTCCTAAGCCCTAGTCTCTAACCCACACATGGCTCTTCGTGACCAGGTCTCAATTCCAGATGTTCCAAGTAGCTCTTCATTTAATCATGTTTTCTGACAGCACCTAAACAAATATATCAAAACTGGTACAACCTTTAGCAAGTGCAACTTGAAGATTTTCTTTCAGTTAGACAAATAGACACCATCTGGAAAAAATAACCCCAGGCGCTTGGATGCAGGAGCATGAAGCTTACTGGCTGAACACCCAATGAATACCTTATACTACTTTCTTTGGCTCTTACCCTTTGCCTACTCATTTCAAATCTTGCACACTTCAGCAGGCGCTGTGCTGTTAGACAAATGAGTCCTTGTTACCCACAAGCTCACAAGGGGTGAAGACTCACTTAATTTGAATGATAGGTTTGCAGGAATTATCTGGACCAAATTGCTTCCTTTCATATAATAATAACACCTGCTCTATACTGCTAAATATCTCTTTTCTTGATATTAATTGGTAACAATATTTTATGATTAGTTCCTCCTATGTTGTCTATGTTTACCATATTCCATTTTTAAACAAGAGTTTCTTCCTCTAATCTTTCCTTCTTATTTTGCTTTCTCCCTTGTCTTTTATCTAAATCTACTTTTGAAAAGAAAAGCTCCACCAATGTGATTTACTGATTGACTTTTATTCCCAAGTTACTATTAGTAATACTGGTTTTATTTTGCTTTTCAAAATTGACTGAACAGAATTTAAATGATCGCAGTATTGTTTATCAACTTTAAGGGGAAAATCAAATAAATGTGAATAGTAGAAATCCAGAAAGCAATCTTCCCTTTTATTTTGATGATATATTCTTTGTGATAAAAATATATTTTAGTCACATTTTTCCCAATACCTCAGATTTCCTATGCAACATACTTAAGTTACTTCTTTACTAATTTTCTTTCTATTGTCAATTGTGAGCAGGTAGCTTTTCAAAACCCAAAAGCAATTGCCCCTGAACTTATGGAATTCATGTTAATACATCTCATAATCTGAGCAGTAGGGAGTCCTATGAAACATGTTTGATCAAACATTAATTTTATAAATTGCCTCCCTTCTCTATAATTCCCATGAAAAAGTTATTCAGCTAGATTAAAACTCTGGAAATTTTAATGGGACCTTTGAAATCTGTTTGAGTTCAGCTTCTTGAAAAAATAAGACCGCCTAATGGAAACACTCTTTATGTGAGAAGTGGATATGCCTTTAAGGCAATTTTCTTCCACGCATAATGGTGAAATTACAGTAGGATGATCTGTGTTTGAAATGTCTTTGACAACTCCTTAATGCTGCATGTAATAATATCTGAAGGAGTCATGTGTATTTTTTCACAATGATAAAGAAGAAAGAGATGATAATTTGCAACAATATCCTTCTGTCTTTTCAGTCCTATCCTGGGCCAAGCCTGGAAAGTGAAGACTTTAACATTCCACCAATCACTCCTCCTTCTCTCCCTGACCACTCGCTGGTGCACCTGAATGAAGTTGAACCTGGTTACCACTCTCTGTGTCATCCAATGAACCATAATGGCCTGCTACCATTTCATCCGCAAAACATGGACCTACCTGAAATCACCGTCTCCAATATGCTGGGACAGGATGGGTCACTGCTCTCTAACTCCATTTCTGTGGTAAGACTCTGTTTATTGATTTATGGTGAAAGTGGAGGCAAGGTCTAATTTAATGCAGAAGCTTTAAATTGTGATAACACAGTATTTTAAAACTAGAATAAGTTTTTATAGATGGAAAATATTCTCTACAAATTGCGTAAAATCCTAGAGCAATTTTTCATTTTATATTAAAGTCAGAGCAAAATAAATTAATTACACGTATGAATACTCATATTTATAACTCAAAGCACTAAATAGAGTTTGACACTGAATGTCCTGTCACAAAGTCAAACTACCTTACAAGCTTTCAAATGAAAAAAAATATGTTAAAAGACGTCATCTCTCATCTGGTACAGGATTCCTCACCACCAGTACAATTCCCCCACCTTCTGAACAGGAACTAATATCAACCTCAATCATTGCACCTCTGCTTTTTACTTTTAAATTCCACAAAATTTCATCATGGAACAGCAAGAGAACAATTTTCATTTATATGTTGAGCTAATATAATTCTGGCGATTTAAATTTATCTCCATTAAAGTCTTTCAGTCCATTGAAGCTTATTGGTATCTCTGATTCTCCTAATGTCCTACTTTCTCAAATTCAGTGGAAATGTATATCACCTAGAAAACTAACAAAAACTTACAAGTCTCTACCCAGGCAATTCAGGGATATGTATTTTTAGCAGGTATACCATACTTAAGAAACACTGCCTTAATCATTAAATTAGGTGATTTTTATGTCACCTAAAAACAATAATTTCGGGCCTCCCCCAGTGGCGCAGTGGTTGAGAGCTGGATTGTGAAGCTGCCCTCAGCCTCTGCAGCGCCTGTTCAATCCCTGGCCGCCGGCGAGGGTCCCACATGGCACGCAGAACTCTCCTGCTGCACCTGCTGCTCCCATCAGCAGTGTATTTCGTCAGTCTGCCTGTTCTGTTCCCCGCTCTGGCTCTGGTGATTCCTCTCACCCTTCCGCACTTCTGACTGTACCCAGTGCTTAGATAAATAAATAAATCTTTAAAAAAAAAAACTTAATAATTTCTGTTTATATATCAAGTATAGTAAAAGGTATTTTTAGCAATATGTGGCCAGTGGCAGAACTTTTTGCTGTGTGATTCACTCCCAATTAGTAATTCCTCTTAATTAACACTCTTGTTTTCATTGTTCAGTTAACAATCGAACTAACTGTATTGTCATTTTCTCAAGTCACAAAACAGTGTTGTCATGTTCACAATGAAAAGATTGACTCACTTGCTTATATTATGTTGTTTCTGATATTAAAATATTTCATATTATCATTTATCTAAATCACTTGGGTGAGCCTAGCATGGTTTTTCATGGGAGGGTAAGCCTTCCCAGCACATCTCAGACCACATTCTGAGGTGGACATCTACCTTGCTTAGTCACATTACTGGCCTTCACATTTTATGCTCTTAGTGAAAAACTACTACAGAAAATAACACAGGTCTTGGTGAGACTTTGGATAGGCTTCAGCATTGCTGAATAGAACTTTCTGTGGTGAGGGCTTTTCAGTAGTCACTACTTACGTGGCTAGTGTGACTGAAGGATTAACTTTTTATTTTACTACATTTTAATTCCATTTAAAGTGACCGCATATACTTAATGACTGCTGTATTGGCATAAGTCTAATTAACAATGTTGATTCTATTATCAAATTTATATAAAACCCAATTTTTTAAAGCTTTCAAATTCATATTATTTTTTTATTTTATTTTATATATTTTTACATCATTTTTCATTTTTGCACAATATATGCATTTTTTTTAAAGATTTATTTATTTATTTAAGCAAGAACCGGGATACAGCCCAGATGTGTGGGAGGGTAAGAGGATTCACCAGAGACAGAGCGGGGAACAGAATAGGCAGACTGATGAAATACACTGCTGAGGGGAGCAGCGGCGAGACAGGAGAGGTCTGCCACGCCATGTGGGACCCTCTTCATCTGCCATGATCAAACCAGCACTGCAGAGGCTGCAGACAGCTTCACAGCGCTGTGCTCAACTGCCTGTGCCACCAGGGGAGGCCCCAATGTATGCATTTTCATCTTGGTTATATTCCCCATACAATTCCCAATTTTTTAAGCCACTGTGGTCTTGGAGAAAGTAGGTTTGGACATTAACTTTGTTATAAGAATCCTGTTTCAAGGCTTGGCTATCTGGCTGGATTCCAGAAACTAGAGTTTGATACACTAGTTGCAATAAAAATTTAATAAAGTTGGGAAGACCAACTTTATTGGTATCTACTGATTTCTTTGAGAAACAGGGAAACTCTGCAGTTCCTATTTTCAACTATCATGTGTCTAAAATCTAAAATGTGTCTAAAATTCATTAGTGTGTACATTTTAAATGTCTTCCATGTTCTAAATGTTGAAAAGGCTCAAATGTTTGATAAGGTATAGTCAATATCCTTTGGGAGCTTATAAACTATGGGGGAAGGGAGAGCATAAATAGGTGTGAAGTGATTAGAGTGAGACACAGAGCACTTAGATACCAAGAGAAGTGCTAAACTCAGTTTTTGTTGGCCACAAACCTATAAGAATTCCTAGTTGGAAGTGATTGCAATAATTTGGGCTTGGATAGTTTATAGGACTACACAAAGTTAGGACTGATATAATCAGGACTTGAAAGATGGCTTCAATTTGAACAAATAGAGAGGAAAGAATAGGCATGTTGGAGAGCATTTGAAAAGGAGTTTGGATATTTTGAGTTGGAATGTTTGACCAGTTTCAAACACCAAGCGATTGCAAGTTGGTATGACAGATAGAAAAATCTTTCAGGACTCTACCCTAAATAGATCGCAGTGGCAAGAAACTGGAGCTGTGGAAAGACTAAAGAGCTTGTTATCACAACTCAGACAAGGGATATTGATAACTTCCAGGGCAGTCTGAGCAGGAAAATGGGCAACTAAGTTGTTCCCACTTAATTCACAGACATGCACAAATCTAAAGATGAACAGCTCTGCATTTTACCATAATTAAAACTTAAAAGCACTGATATTATTTTCCTTGAAGGAAACTTTAAGACTCTAGAGCTATTCTCATAATACTTTGTAAAACTGACTAAAACTCTTTCTAGCAACTGTACTCTGCCCAATGTAATCAAGAATTTTAATAACTGAACTGTTATCTGTTTTGTCATTTCTTGAAATATATTTATGAATAGACCATTTAGGTCATTAATGTTCACATAGGCAAGGAAATGATGGCCACAGAAATCAGCATGTCAAAGCTGCCTGTCTGCAAATTAGAGAAATCCTTCCTAGCTCTTCCTTCAAAAATCACCTAAAACATAGGCATAGCTAATACAAGATAGTACTTGTAGACTCTGAGTAATGAACTTTCTAGAAATTACAATCTATTGAGTATAAACCACCCTAGCCAGATTTATGTGTAGGATCAACTGTCTCTTGTTTATTTTCCCTAAACTTTTTGGTGTTATTCAGGCTGAGCTTATGATGTTAGTCAGTACAAGAGTCTTTAGGTTAATATTTTCATGTGATAGAATTTTCAAATAGAGTGGATCAAAGGAGTACAAATATTTAAGTTCTCTCATGGAGATTATATATATGTTAGAGGTTATTATAGTATTTAACTTATATGCATTGTTATATGTTACTGTTTTGTATAATGTAAGTTATTACATATGATATGCAGTCTTTCCTGAGGTTTTATTTTGAAGATAAAGGCTCTTGTATCTACCACTGTTTCTTAATCCCTACTGGTAGCATAAGTGATGCAATTGTGCAGTGTTTCTTACAAATGTTTAATACGTTAGACATAAAAGAAATTAGTGCATTTGGGAAATCAGTGTTTGAATGAAGCTTTATTATCCCAATTTTATAAGTGAAAAATGGAGGTTAGAGTGGTTAGACTCAACCTGTAAATACCCCAGTCTACTTAACCTAAAAACAGTTATACTAATGGTTCCTATCTCACAGGGTTAAATGAGTATTTAAGAATCACTTAGAGTAGTGGTTGGTGCATAGGAAATATTATAAAAGTTTGTTAAATAAAATATGAAAAGCAAGCCTATATGACGCTTTTGGAGATTTAAAATGCATAAGGGAGATTTTCCAGAGGAGTTATTTATACTTTAATCCTTAATCTTTTTCACATCTTTCCAAAAAAAAAAAAAGTCAGCAATAAGCTTGTATTAACCAAAGAAATCTTCACCTTTTACTGAGTGTCCTTATATACCATTATTGTTAAAATCAACATCTCTGAGTCAGAATACCCCAGTTCACATTGTAGCACAGCCACTTACCCACTATGTGACCTTGAGCAACTTCCAGAACCTTGCTGTGCTATAGTTTCCTGATCTATAGTTTCCTGATCTACACTTTATAGATATTTAATACCATAATTCTGTGAACATTAAAATAGTTGATATATGGAAGGTAGTATGCATCACGCAGTTGGTGTAAAATTTAATGGAGATTCCCTTCTGATGATAAGACCCCCAGAATATATAGATTGCCTTCTGAAGTTCACCCTAGACATACATGGGAGTGAAGCAACTTAGTGTAAAATTCCTCCTTTCCCAGATTTCCCATCACTTCCTTTTTGTATATTCTTGCTTGCACCATTTTATGTGTTGGAAGTCAGTTGGGACTTCTGCAAGAAGTTAACTTTCTGGCACTTCTAAAATAATTCCATTTTCTAAAATCCCTGTTTTCCAAGACCAGGCTATAAAACAGGGTAGAATTTCTATTAGTATAGACTGCTGAATAAGTACCAATTAGCTCTGATTCTCTAGGTCCAAGTTAAATAGCCATTTATGACCTAGTGTACAAGAGTCCGTTTTTCTCAAAATTCCTCTTAGCTATTGCGATAGCGGGTACCTGGTTAGCATGTGCTTTTCAGGGAGTGCAATCTACTTGGAAGGAATGAGTTTGGAGTCTAGACCCTGCGTTGGCTTATTTTGTGAACTATGGGCAAGTCACTACCCTCCATCTGTAACCTGCAGGGTAGGGCTAGGTCAGTGGGTCCAAACTGAGCTCATT